CAACAGATTTAAATTAGGGCATAATATCTGCCACAACGATTGACTGTTTTCCGCCATACAGACTGACTACTTTTTCTATGTATTATCTCTAAGGCTAACATAAAGATTTCTATAAACTACTCTTTTCCTTTCTTCTATTATTTTTCCCCTTCAGGGCCAAATTCTGTTTAAGAACAATCTAATCGCTACTCAGAAAAAACTACCAAGAGCACATCTTGGTCTTGCACTGAATTTCCAAGCGTGCAGACTGATAAGTGCAGAACCAGCCCCATCTCACCAAACACAGGGCAGCATCCTCCTGCATGACTGATACAGAGGAACAGCCAGTAAAATGGCCTTCACTAAAAACAGTCTCTCACTAGGAGTAGTACCATCAGTTATTTGCATTAATCCCAATGTGCTGTGCATCGAGTTTTGGTTGGCTAATTAGTTTGCCTAATTTGCTCTGCTGCTCAGGTGATTTCTTGCTCCTTTAGGTGAGGATCCTTAGCTCCTCTTTGCTAATTGCTGCTGCCAGCACCTGCTGGGTTCCCTCATCAGTGCTGTGTCTTCCTTACCAGTCTGATGTAGGAACCCAAGTGCCAGTGGTTCCCACACTAAGCAGGTCAGCCAAACTGGAGTGACTGCCCTAAGTTACCAAATGGAAACTAAAAATTCGCTTAGGAAGAAAGGAAGTGTGAACACAGCCTGCAAAACCCATCTGCATAACTCAGTGCCACTGCATGCTGCCACATATGACTCTGTTTGAGTTAAAGGGCAGAAATGCTTACCATTAACAACTCCATTGATGGCAGATGCTTTGCAAAACATCCTGCATTAACAACAGAATCAAGTATGTTCATCTGGAGGACCAACTAGCCACTCAGGTTTATTAGTCCATTCTCCTAATAAACACAGCATTAGCTGCAGTTTGAGTGTAATGTGGTGCATTTATAATAAGAAAACATTGGGGTGGCATTTTGTAATTAAATATCTCATGAACTCTGTGTAATGTCAACAGAGATTAATGCAGGATGGCACGCAAGGTCACTGGGTGGATTTCAGAATTCTGTTCGCTTAAGAAGACGTTATCAGTTATTTTCTTAAATACAGGACGTCACAATGTGTACAACTTAGATAAATGTGCACACATTAACAGTGCAAATGAAGAATTAATTCATTTGGATAACTTGTTTTTAAATAGAAAATACCATGGCGTTAGGCTACATGCAATTTCTCTCATAACTTTGACGACCTCAGCTTCCCCAAATCCTTCAGACATTCAAACAGACACAAATCTGAAGAAATGAACATTGCAGCTTTGACTAAGTTTTCCAATTCAACTTACTCTCCTTGTGCAATAAGAGTGCAAGTTTTATGTAAAATATGATGAAGAACAAGTTGTGCCAAGGGAGGTTCAGGTTGGATATTAGCAAAAAAAATTTTCTGACAGAGTGGTGATGCATTGGCACAGGCTGCCCAGGAAACTGGTGAAGTCTCCACTGCTGGAGGTGTTCAAGAACCATGGAGATGTGGCACTTGGGGATGTGGTCAGTGGGCATGGTGGGCATGGGCTGGGCTTGGGGACTTTAAAGGCTTTTTCCAACCCTAACAATTCTATGATTCTATGATGATTCAAGCTTACTGCTAATACCAGAAGCAAACGTCTCTTCTTTTTTTGTAAACCCCAACTACTCTTCACTTTCTCAGAGTTGTAACAATGCTCTCATTTGACGAATTCTCATGTGAAGACGTTGATACCTCCAGCTTAGATTACCTGGTTTGGATGTGATGGGGATCTAACTAACACTTGATAAGGCATTTGCCTTTCACAATCTATACTACTATAGGCAAAAGCGTCCTGATCTTCCTTTGGCTTTTCAAGCACTTTACAAATTACTTTATGGCCCAGATGTAAAATTTCAGTGTAAATTTACTGTGTCAAGTTTAATCTACACTAAAGCCTGAATTTCACCCTATCAGTCAGCCCGACAACTGTGTGGTGTTCCTGAGATTATGATTAATAGTTCAGAGATGGAGTTCACAGTTCTGCTAAGCCTAATGTAACAAAAGCAGCAAGCAGATAGCTGAATAAAAACATAGAAGGAGAGAGGCTGTGAAGATCACAGATGGTCCAGCTGTCAGCCAAGCTTCTGGCCAGGTGACACCGCTGAGAATCAGGTAACTCCAGGACTGAAAGCAGCTGGGAGTGGTACAGTTCCTTATATGAGCAAGAAACTGTAAAAGGGGAAGAGAAAATAAAGAACTAAAAGGAAGAGAAACCATCCAGAAGGACTTGGACAGGCTAGAGAAGTGGGCTCTTGTGAACCTAATGAGGTTTAACACAGCTAAGCACTGGGTGCTGCACTTGGGCTGGGGCAATCCCAAGTATTTATACAAACTGGGGGAAGATCTCCTTGAGAGCAGCCCTGTGGAGAAGGACTTGGGGGTACTGGTGGATGAGAAGCTGGACGTGAGCCAGCAGGGTGTGTCTGCAGCCCAGAAGGTCAACTGCGTTCTGGGCTGCATTAAAAAAGGGGTGGCCAGCAGGGAGAGGGAGGTGATTGTCCCCCTCTGCTCGGCTCTTGTGAGGCCCCGTCTGCAGTCTTGTGAGGCCCCATCCAGGCCTGGGACCCCCGGCACAGAAAGGACGTGGAGATCTCGGAGCGGGTCCAGAGGAGGGCACTGAGATGGTCAGAGGGCTGGAGCACCTCTCCTATGAGGAAAGGTTGAGGGAACTGGGATTGTTTAGCTTGGAGAAGAGAAGGCTGCAGGGAGACCTCATTGTGGCCTTCCAGTACTTGAAGGGAGCGTATAAACAGGAGGGGGAATGGCTGTTTGTGAGGGTGGATGGTGATAAGATAAGGGGGAATGGTCTGAAACTGAGACGGGAGGTTTAGGTTAGATACTAGGAGAAAGTTCTTCACACAGGGGGTGGTGAGGCACTGGAACAGCTTGCCCAAGGAGGCTGTGGATGCCCCAGCCCTGGAGGCATTCAAGGCCAGGCTGGATGTGGCTCTGGGCAGCCTGGTCTGGTGGCTGGTGACCCTGAACACAGCAGGGGGTTGGAACCAGATGAACACTGTGGTCCTTTTCAACCTATTCTATGAGCCTATGAATTACAAGACTTTAGTTTCAATTCTACTTGCACATCACATGCATGTGCTCTAAGAACTAACCATCCCTTTGCTTTCCAAACCCTGGTGCAGTTTGCCCACCAGGTGAACGGTGGAGGCTACATTGGTGACTCAAGCAATGCTGCAGGATGTTCCTGAGCTCCCGAGTACAATGTGGTACGATTTAGTTCAGTGTCTGGTAGCTCAGCACTCCTGTGCTCTGCAGGCAAGGGAACTGGACACCAACCCCACCATGGCAGCAGCTCTCAGGGTACTTAATCTAACAGCAGAGCAATGAAGCTGTATTTATGATTGTTATGGTACTGTACTACTGTGTAAGTAAAAATGTACTTTTTTTCCTAAATTTCATTTAAAATTGTTTAAGTTACTATTCTGAAACTATTTTTCTGCATATTTTATTGAAAAATAAGTTAGAGTAAAACATTACTAGAAAAAAAACAGAATTAATTTTGTATCTTTTTTGAAGAGGAGTCCCTGTAGCTTGTACAGACACCAGGAGGAACACTAACAGAAACAAGCAGATACACAGGGAATGAAAAATGTCCTCAGTCATGCCATAGTACTTGAGGCCTTCAAGACTTTGCTGAATAGCACTGCTCTGTGATAATCTAGCCCTCACACACATCAGTTTTAAGCTTGGAGCACTGACTATTTAGCACATAGGGCTCACAGGGTCCTAGACCCAGCAGAAGTGCAGGTCCTTGCTTTGTCTTCTTTGCCACTTCAGGCTTAGCAAAAGCATTCCCCCCCCTTATAAGAACCAGTCTCCTGGTAATAGCTCTGAGCTCACACAGTACACTGCTTTTCAGTTATTTGCAATTCTGTCCTTTTTTCCTCCAACATCTTGGGCATCACGTGAAGACTAAACCAGTGCAGGAGGAGAAATCTTTTCCTGTGAAGTTATTTTATAACTAACCAGGTAGTTGGTGGTTTTTCCAGCAATACCAGCAATGAGTCCACAGCACTTCAGAGAGATGGTAGGGAGATGACACGGGGACTTTTTTCAGATTCCCTTAAAACACACACCAGCACGCTTAGGAACCTGGCCACAGGCTTAGAGCACTACAGCTGCATCTGCTTCCATTGAATTTTGCAATATTAACAGTAAATTGACAATGCACAGGTATCTTACATTCTTATATAAGATCACTGTTACTGTTTGTAGGAAGGGTAATTACAGCAGCACTACAGGACTACATTTCATACGGGCCCCAGAATGTAACATTTTATGTAGCATTTTCCATTGAACTCATCTGTGTCTGGTTTTTTTGCATAAGACACTTTTTTCTTTTAAGTCATTGCCAAGTATGTCTTCCCATAGGTTATTGATCCTATAGAGTCTATTTCTCAGAATTATGTGCAGTGAAGTAAGCAAACTGTGACAGTGTTCAGGTAGAAACAGAACTGCTCTGCTGTGAGTAAGAGTTACAAAGTGCTGCAATGAAGATCTATCAATTTAAGAGGCAGGACAGGTGTTCACTATATCCTCCCTCTTGTTCTCTATAGCCCAAGATATATTTTCAAGGGAAAAAAAAGTATGACTTACATAAATGCAGTCTTAGAGTTTAGTGTAAGCATGAAGAGAACAAGGAGTGCCAACAGCAGTGGTGGATAGTGTCAGTGGGCTGCTGCTGGCTATTGGTGCATCGCTGCCTGCAGCTGTGCTGCCATCCTGGATGCTTCTCTGCTCTCTGTGTGAGCACCAACTTCTTACCCACCTCTTATTATGACACTGCTTACTTGCACATTCCACATTTCAACTTTATTTCATCCCCTGAAAGGAAATTTTTTACTGACTTGGTGTGTACTGAAACATTAGTATATGGTGATATTGTGAAACCCCACCCTACCCTAAATTCCAGAACAAGGAACAGGGATACTCACAGGTATGCCTTGCCAGGGAATAGTTGGACCCACCACTTGTCAGCCCAAAGCCCTCGGGGATCTGGCTGGAGCTGCGTGGCCGAGTCAGCAGCTTGGGGGGCTCAATCTCAGCCCCAAATTCTGCCCCAATCACACCCAGCAGAACAATGGCTGTAGCCTGCTTCCTGCGCTCCTCATAGGACGTGGAGATCTTCTTCAGCTGCGGGAGACCAGACAGGCAGCCTGGAACAAGAAGCAAGAGCTATAAGGAAAACAAAAGCAGGGCTGCTCATAACACTCCAAATATTCTGTTTTCCAGAGAAAATAAAGAGATTCCATTTAACTTAGAGCATGTCTTCAGGACAGTTACTTCCCTTAGCAGAATTTTCAGCTGCTGCAGATGATGACTTTTACTTCCTAAATGCACAACAGAAGTCTAAATAGCTACTTTTGCAACTGCTATCTCACTCCTTCAAAAACTGTCAAGACCTTGCTGAAGAAAAAAAAAAAAAAAAAAAAAGGAAGGGGGAGGCAGAAAATCATCAATTTTATAGGTCTTTATTCTTTTCTGGAGGAAAAAAACATAACCAACAATTAGGTTTATCTGCTTTTGTGAAAGTTAATATTTAGCCTGATTTTTGTTCACCCTAAATTTCTGTAACAAATATAAATCCTCCCTGGTTTCTTTACCTTACAAGGTGTATTTTGTATTTTGGAATACTGGACTTCCATTACAAAAAGACCTCAACCTTCTGTGTTATGATCCATCATAATATTCTAGTTCTTACTAAATTTTAGCATAAGGATATATGCCATTACACTGACCTAGCATTTCAGTATACCAAATGTTTCTTTAACAAACATCCTCCGGAATCATGGAAAAACCTCACTGAAGAGTGAATTTTAAAATTTAAAATAAAACTCTAAGTTTTGTATTATTGGTGAAACTAAGAACTCTTGGGCTATATTAGATTTGGCTGATGAAGGGTGGATCGATTTTGGTTTTTCAGGTGTTTTTTCCTTGTAGTTATTTTCTTTTTCTTTCTTCCTTTTTTATTTTTTTTGAAATACAGTATTCATTCAGCCAGATAAGTACAGCTCACATTCAGCTAATTCCCAGTGCAATGGGGAAAAAAAAAAAGACATACAAATCCAATGTATAACAACAAAGCCTTAACACCCCTCTTAGGTTCCTCTACCAAACCTTTTCAGGGAAGCCAGACAGCACTGGATGAAAATCATCAGAGCATAGGTTAAGAAAGGGCTAATTAGCATGCCCAATGCAGGTCTACCTGTGCTCCACAGGAAATGAGATGCTACCTCCAGAAAAGCTGACTACATCTAAGCAAATGCAGCCATCCTGGTTCAGAAACAGCACTGCGGTAGCAACAGAAACGTGCCAGCTGAAGGGGAGGAAAAATCCAATGGAAAGCTGAACAATGGCAGGAGAGGGGGAAAAAAATCAATAGGGGCTGCCTGGAAAGGGAGAAAGCTGGAAAGGGGCTGCACAGACAAAGCAGGGAGTACAGCAGCTCCTATCGCCCTGCACTCTGCTCTTTCACGGCCACACAGCTGGCCTGGCTCGGGGACCCTGAAAGACAGACATCGGAGCATCCTGAAATGCTGGTCCTGATTCCTCAGGACTCTCAGTTCTCATCAGGCAGCAGACAACAAACCAGCCGGCACCCAGAGCCGAGCACCAGGCCCTGCCCCGACCGGCCCAGCACCCTGGACAGCAGCACCCAGGTGCCCGCGATGGCTCTTGGTCACACGGCAAGTTGCAGTAACGCTCCTTTGCTAAAACTTCCAAGTGAAATTTAGAAAAATACATAAAAGATTTTTGCCTTCACTTTTTTTTTTTTTTTTTTTTTAGTTACTCACAAAAGCATAAAATGAATGGCAATGATTTCCTACGAATAAACTGACAGCTGTTTGGGAGAATCTAAAATGAAATAATGTCTCTGGAAGTAGTCCTTCCTCCACTTCCATTTGTCTCCAGAAAATTTGGTATTTTCTCACCGCGCCGTGGCTCCATTTAATCATGCAATGGGTGACACGGAGATCCATTTTCCTGACAGGACAGTTGATCACCCTATCACGGAGGGGAAATTAATAACCCCAGAGAGCTCTGCGTGGAAGCAGGAGCCCTGCTGGAGGAAGGACACTAATGTTGCACATTTTCCTCAGAAAATAGTGCACGTGTGTCTTGGAAAACAGTGCACATGTTCCCTGGAAAACAGTGCCTGTGTATCTTGGAAAACAGCACGCCTCCATCACTGCACACTGTTGGAGGGACATAATGCATTCAAGTATTTCTTTATACCTGGGTTTACTTCAGACCAAATGACTGTGTTAAATATTCCAAAGCGCATCACCTTCTGAAAACTAAACCTAAACAACGTTTAGAGGAGGCAGCTTTATGGGTAACACAAAGCAAAGAGGGTATTTACAAAGCATTCTACATACAGGTAGAGCATTTCAGAAGTTTAAATTGTTTAAAAGGCTGCAGGTTATTGATTGCTTCATTTAAAAAGCAGTCAGAGAGTGCAGCCACGAGGTCAGGGTGAATTTAACAGTTTGGAGCACTTTACTAAATAACTCTAAAGATCATGTTAATTGGCTTTGCACAGTTCTTGGGTAAAATTAATTTTATCCTGGCTTACAATAAAAGGATTAAAAGACAAATTAAGTTCTTCAGGTTTAACTGGAATAGAAATCAATGGATCTGAATTAAGGCTGAAGGGGGTTTTGTAAGGGACAGACTGCTACCAGGTACCTCGTATCTGCTCTGTGTATGTGTATACATATGCAAGTGTATATATACATGCACACATACACACAGAAGAGTGGACTGAAAAAGCCCACAACTTTCACCTAAGTGAATAACGTAATTTGCTCAAGACCACAACAGAGCTTGCATCAGTTTGGCTGGGAATTCTGATGCCATTCAAAGGATGCAAAGAAAACCAACAACTAAAGCCCTCATGATTTTGTCACAGTCCATATTTCACAGCACAAAGTGAACATCGTCAGCAGTCACTGTCTATAAATGAAACCTTGCAAAATGACAAATGACAAAACTTCCTGGCAAGCCAGCACTGAAACTGCTTACTTTTAAAACTGTAACAGTTTCTCTGCATTATGGAGAATATTATAGGAGAACATTCAAGAGCTATGATGGGGGGAAGGCACTTTTGCTTACACGCATCTTGGCTCACAAGAATCCATGCAACTGCCTGGTATTTCCATAACATTGTATTTGAATATTTTTTCATGTCAGGTGCACTATTTTCTTATAGTAAATAAATGTAAACAAATTTACATGGTGCTCTACAAGGAAATGGCAAAAAACATCAATTTCAAACTACAAAAACAAAACAAAGCAAACAAAAAATGCAAAAGAATGAAAGGAAGGAAAAATAAGGAGGGAAGGAAGGAAAAATAAGGAGGGAAGGAAGGAAAAATAAGGAGGGAAGGAAGGAAAAATAAGGAGGGAAGGAAGGAAAAATAAGGAAAGGACAGCCAAACAGAAATTGCTGAATTAGATGTGCCAATGAAAGGCACATTACTTCAGTTCTTCAGGACTCTTAACCAGTCAAGCCACACTTTGGGTCTGCCTTCATTTTCAATTTTTAAGATTATACTCTGAAGAATAATTACAGTAATTTCAGCACCTCTGGAAGCTTACAAAGCCACAGTGTTCAAAATAATCCAGAACTGAAAAACGTACAGAAATACTTGCAACTTGAAATGACCATGAGGAAAAGGCAGAAAATAATCTATTTCATTTAAGCTCAAGAAAGCCACTGTGTCTCCTTGCTAACCTGACAGGATTTAAGAAGGGGGCTTTCTGCCACTTCTGTTATTCCTACACACATGGCTCCCTCCTCTGGCCAGCAGAACAGAGCACTGGGTGAAGGGTGTTGGGTGCAGGGCATGCATTCCCCTACTGCTTACAAGAAAAAGGCAAACATACAAGGTTTTCTGCTCTCTGGAGTCATTTATTTCTATTTTCAGTCTTATGCTCATTGATGGTGGAAAAAATATAGAAAATTCCCAGATTCTTTAAGTTGCAAGCCGTCCCTGTTTTTACCTGGAGCAATTCCATAATCTCCAAAGTATTTATAAAATGTACATACTTGCAGACAGAAAACTCATTTTGTGAATCTATTTTTTAATTTAGCTGACAGCATGGAAGTCAATAAAGCACAATGCAGAAATCTGGCAGTACGTGGCAAGTTAAAGAGGCTGACTGGGACTGCTAACTCTGGAACCCAGTTTTTATTTTCTATGGTTATCTCAAGCGTGTTTACAGTTTCCCTTTTGCTGCCTTCACAGTACTTCAGCTACGCTGTTTCAGGAAATATGTAAAGGATGGAGAATCAAACAGACTTCAATAGCAGCTTGTTCATTAAGGCATAACGTATTCTGCAATTCCTTCATAACTATTCCCATCACTTAGAGCAGAATATAAAAGATTAGTAGCAGAATGCACCTGTGGCATTACCTATACACAGCTGAAATGCAGAGTTAGAATGAAATTTCCCCAAGAACAGAAGTAGAGGCATTTTAGTGCGATGCCAACTGGTATTTTCTTTTAAATGAATCATTTGCTGTGTTTTATTAGATATCTGCCACCAAACTATTAGACAGGGAAGGAAGCCACATAAGAAGAAACCAATACATCTCACAAAAAATTTCCTGCACCTTTTCCATTGTTCTCACAATTATAAAGGAGATATGTAGGCTTAGCTAATGAAAGAACACTTGATAACATCAACTGAAAATAAATTTAGATTAAGAATTTGCAGAAGAATTGTTCCTAAACACAGGAGGTTGTTTTTTTGTTGTTGTTGTTTTTAAATAATTGCTGGGTTTTTTTGTTTGTTTGTTTTTGTCCATTTTTAATTTCCCTCCCTCCTTCCTATTGGCTGACTGTCTCATTTATTTGATAATGCCTGTCCTGCTGTTTTCATATCTGCAGGAAAGCATGCGAAATAATAGAACGTTGTTACTACTGTAGAAACTGGAAGTGTTTAAACTTCATTTACCTAATATTTCATACAGCATCTTACAACAGAGAAGTTTAATAATTAAATATCAATAAGTCACATAGCTTTGTATTATTAAAGCCAGGGCATTTTTCTGGTTTGCTTTTTGATAACATATTCCCTTTGTGGTGCCAGTAACCTGATTTTATGCAGCCAGCCAGCTGCAGCACTTTAGAAAGAGAATTATAAAAC